AACATGCAGCGCCTCACCTTGGCCGGTAGAGGGCAGTCTACTTCCGTCATGTCGGGATCACTGCAAAGAACACAGTTTCGTAATGAATTACAACAAACCCACAGAATAAAACTTCACAATCTTCATAGTTACCGTCTGGTTTTGAAAAAATCATTGTTTAAAATTCATATGAAGGTTCACTTTTGTTTGAGCCTCATGCCTTTTCAACAGTCCTGTGCTACTTTCTTATAGACAGTAGATAGCAAACGCTTAATAATCGTGGTTACATAATTTACTCTTTTAGTCATTACAAAGTGAGCATCTCAAGGCTTCAGGTGTCACATGAATATAATTACTTTTATTATCACACTTTAAAACACTCAAGAACACAGCTGGTTCTGCACGGTTTTGTTCTTTTCCTATGAAAGCGGAGGTGAGTCTCCACTCAGACGGAGCTCAGTGCTGTAGGTTCCGGGCGCCAGGAGTGCGATCAATCCCCTCACCTTTCTAAAGCCAAGGATAAGTCGAACTCGACGTCACACATCATGTTTGCGCCTAGAACACAAGAAAAAACACATTGACATGTCAAATATTCTAGTAAACGTCTTATATAATACATACAACTAACAAGTCACTAAAAAAAGCTACAAATTGCCGTGCTGTCATTTTTGCAGCAACTCAGTCCGACACAATATTTCTAGAAATAAAAGAAAAATACAACAACCAGCATTCTGTCGTTACCGAGCAAAGTCGCGCAAACAAGTCATTGAAGTGGTCCTGCAGGAGAGCTTTTCCTAAGCGCCGCAACTCCATCTTTCGTGCCCGGCGATCGAAATCCCCTGACAGCGGATCTTTCACATTAACATACAGATAACAAACACGTCTTATTCATCTCTGCGGTTCTACCCCCTCTGCCCGAATCAGTAGAATGTCTCTTTGCCGGTACCTGAGGTTGTCTTCCAGCGGCAAAGTCAAGTCTGTGTTGCTGATCTTCGCTTCAGTCCGTCTGTATTGACAAGCGCTCTGCAGAACAACCCATTTATAGCCCTCGTGCGACAGGAAGCGGGATTTTCCTCAGATAGCTCACGCTACAGGGAAATGAATCCACGTAAAATCTGGATTTACCAAATAAAAAAAAAAAATGTTAATCATGCCGTTGAGATTTGTTTAGTCTTGAACAGCGGCTTTTCTTGCTTATCAAGTCAAAATTCACCAGACTCGGAGCGAATAAGCAGCCTGGTGTTTGCCACCTTTTTAACACGTGTGAAATGTTTGCACTATTTTTAAATGTCTTATTTCAATTATCGCCTGTTTTTCATGTTCGATAGTGAATAAATTAATCGTCCACCATCGAGAAAGAGCTATCATCGTTAGTACTGAAACAGCACGACTAACAACAGTGCAGTTTCATAAATCCTAAATCATGATCATAAAATCATAAAGAATGGTTATAAAAAACACACCTAACAAAAGTGACGGCTATAGCATCCGTAGGAGTAGAAGGGAGAGGAGTCTTTTCCGAATGGATAGCCGATTTGGTTACCATTAGCCACTTAATGAAGGCTCTTTCAGTCTTTTCTTTTGACTTTAAGTCTTTCAATTCTTAAATGAATCCCTTCTCGTCTTCTCTGTTCCAGACTAGAAAAATGTCATTGTTGGATCTTTTTTTAAGAGGGAGGCACAGTGGTACAGTGGCTAGCATTGCTCCCTTGCTGTGCTGGGGCCTCGGGTTCGATTCTGGAGTTGGGGTGCAGTCAGTGTGGAGTTTGCATGTTCTCCCCAGGGTCATGTGGGTTTCCTCTGGGTGCTCTGGTTTCCTCCCCCAGTCCAAAGACATACTGCTCTGTGATGGTGTGAGTGTGCCCTGTGATGGACTGGTATCCTGTCCAGGCTGTATCCTGCCTTTTACCCATTACCTGCCAGGATAGGCACTGGTGTGACCCTGTACTAGATAAAGCAGGTAGAAAATGGATGGATGAACTATGACCCAGTTTATTTCTGAGTGAAGCATGAGGCAGAGAGAGAGGGGACACTCTCAGATACATGGTCAAGCTGGATGGCCAGGCTGTATTGGAGGGACTGCTGGGACTTTAGACGCAGTCTTCTGAGGGGTGTGAAACATCACCAGTGCCACTGTGGCCTGCACCCTTCACAACCAGAACTGCTACTATTATGCGTATTTTAGTCATTGCTATCTGATGCATTGTAGGTAACAATATGATGTGATAAACATATGAAGAGCTATCAGTTCTGAAATTCTGACTCCAAAGTACGCTATGCTCTTCAAAGCATTTAAAGAAGAATTATTAATTAAAACAAAAACACGACACTCAAACTGCATCACAATCTGAGGAAAAGAAGAAAAAGTCAACGGGAAATCGTATTTGGGGACCATAGATTATTATCCGAGATGATACTTCATGATACATACTGATACAGCATGGAAAAATAAGGTGGTTTTTTATTTGACAAAAATAACCGAGTAAATGTAACTGTGGGCTAATTTACCCTTTTTAAGTTAAACCCATGAGAAAATGGGTTTTTCTGTTTGTTATGAACTTTTTTTTTAATTCAGGGATGAAGGCATACAAAGCACTCTACTAACAGAATACAGTATGGTAGTAAAGAGGTTAGATACAATGAATTTGTTTTTTTTTCTGCATGTTTAAATAGTAAGCAATCTGCTGTAGCACTGGGATCTTTATTTTCCATTAATTCCTGTGTCTGAATATATGCCTGTTTTGTGCTAGCGCTCAGAGATATCCATTCTGAGTGTGTCTTTATTCCAACAGGACTTTTGATCAGGGGGTCTCGCACCCCAAGTCCAGCACTTATTAGCCTTTAAATCATCAGCTTATAAAGAACTGAAACAATTTAACTACGATCAATTAAAGAGGTGGTGTGTTTAATTAATCCATTTAGAGATCATTTGGAATGAAGATCAGAATGTCCTTCATCCTTCAATTACTAGTGTTCCCTTCACTGAAGCATTACTTATCAATTGGTTCCTGATCTTTCAATAACAGGGGACTTCGGCTCACCGGGACCAAGGTTGCAGACCCCTGCTTTACAAGGTGACACAAAGGGTTGTGTGTTGCTCCCGTTTAATGATGTAAAAGCAAACTTATGGATGTCAGCTTCAGAGTGAGACTTTCAGGAGACAGACTTCCTCTTTGCTCAGTTCTGTGGGTTCCTTTGTAATTCACTTATTGCAAAACTGTCCCAAACTGTGGAGTGTCATTTTTGTCATTCAGCGGCCTCTGAAGTGGTGGTAAAGGCAATGAGTTCTTGAAGCTAATGAATTGCGTGTTTGTTTAGTTATCCGCCTTATTATGGAACTTTACAACTTAAAAAAGTTTCCATTCCCAAGAAATATTTTTTAGTTTCCACAGGAAACTGCAGGTACCTGCAATCCTTAGATCAGCTGAATGTTGTTTTCAAGGCTGTGTTTTCGGCTGAGTTAGCTGTTTCCTGTTTACCTGTATAATTGGAGATACCTGAGTTCTTTGTTCTTTGACACAACTTCGGTCAAAAGAACCCCCCAAAAAAACCCAGACTGCTACTAAACATTAAAACTCTCATGTAACACCTACAAAGGACAAAATAAGAGATAAGGCTTCCTTCTAAACCAAATAGAATATGCTCTATGGCTGTAACCCTGGATGCTAAAAAAATAATGAGATCCTCCCTGTCCTAAAAATGCACCCACTAATCAGAAGAGGCCATTTTTTAACCAAGAGATTCTTTACACAGGATATTAAAGTTGACAACCACAACAGAATAGCAAGGTCTCTTGCCAAGTTTCAAATATTTAACTCCAGTAAACCAAAGTAAACATTAAGATGTCTTTGATCACTGAATCTCCCACCCCTACATCTCAGCAAACATCTCCTTTCTTTGAAGCTCCTGAAACCTGGAAATGCTGACACAGGCCAGGTATAACGCATTGTATGGAGATTCTTCAAGGCACTTCAACAGTCACTTACAATAGTAACAATAAGAAAAGTTCCAAGAGACAGTAGGCCATTTGGGTGCAGGACCTTCACGTGGAACATCCGGTTTGTCTTACAGAGGAAGTGAAATCTACTGTGCTGTTGAAAATAAGATTCCTTGGTAGCCTGAAAGTGTTAACCACTTTTTGGAGGCTTGTTCTGGGAGCTGCAGACTTAGAATGGGGCAGGAATGTAGACACAGGTTTCACAAACCACAGGAAGAGCCGAAGATCTCTGAGGGCAGAGAGCAACGCAATAGAAATGAACATCTTTGCCCTCAGTGGTTTTCCGTTCTTGCTGCGAATAGTTACCCGTACTGGAAAAGCATTGACTTTGTTCCATTTGGACTTCTCGGGAGTCGGCTCAGGTGGTTTTCCAGGGCTCAGATGGATCTCACCTCACTGAGAGCAAATCCAAAGTATGTGATACCAGCTCGTGGAGCACTTGCATCTGAAAACACAGAGACAAAATATATTGGCTTTAACCTGCACAAGTAAATTCTGAATAATCCTTATTAAAAAAGAGATAATAAGGAACCTGAAACTTATTCACAGTAAACAGACAGTACTTTACTGCATTCCTGAGAGCTGCTGCGTATGTCACTGATGAGTCAAACTCTCTAAAGGAAGTGATGTCATAAAGTAGTTTTGGCACATGTGGGCCAATTATCTGTCATCATTAAATCGCTTAAAATTGTTTGTCACCCAAACCAATTTAAATTAGCTGAATGGTTTTCAGTAGTGAGAGCTTTGGTATTTAAATATTTTTCTTTCCAGCTGATATACAGCTCAAATGTATAAAAAGTTAACTTATTGTTATTATTCCCTTATTATTCCACTGTTATCTGTCTGTGTCTCTTATCATCTAGCAGCCATATCACCCTGCAACTCACAACTGGCGACCCACTGAAGCTCAGAAGGTGTGAGCCTGGCCAGTACCTGGATGGGAGATCTCCTGGGAAAAACTAAGGTTGCTGCTGGAAGAGGTGTTAGTGGGACCAGCAGGGGGTGCTCACCTTGCGGTCCATGTGGGTCCTAATGCCCCAGTATAGTGACGGGGACACTATGCTGTAAACAGGCGGCGTCCTTCGGATGAGAAGTAAAACCGAGGTCCTGTCTCTCTGTGGTCATTAAAAATCCCAGGGCGTTTCTCGAAAAGAGTAGGGGTGTAACCCCAGCGTCCTGGCCAAATTTCCCCATTGGCCTTTACCAATCATGGCCTCCTAATAATCCCCATCTATGAATTGGCTAAATTACTCTGCTCTCCTCCCCACTGATAGCTGATGTGTGGGGAGCGTTCTGGCACACTATGGCTGCCGTCACATCATCCAGGTGGGGCTGCACATTGGTGGTGGTGGAGGGGAGTCCCCATTACCTGTGAGGCCCTTTGAGTGGAGTGTCCAGAAAAGCGCTATATAAGTGTAAGCAATTATTATTATTATCTGAATTTAACTGGTAGGATCAAAGTCTAAGAGGTCAGGAGTATGAGATAACATGTGAGGAATTTTCACTGGCTTTTGGTCACATTTTAAAATAGTTCAGGTGGGGAGCTGCGTCAGCATGTGTAGGCCGCAAAGGAACAAGTAAAGGTTTATTCCATGCTGAAAGGAGAAGAGAAGAAACACAACGTTTTGGCTGTGGAGCTTTCTTCAGGTGTGATTGGTGTGATTTCAAACATGTCCATCAAGAGTTTTGTGGAGATGACAAACGTGTTCTCTTACGTTGTTGACAGGACTTTCAGAAGAAACAAAAAAGATGGAAAGACAGAGACTTATTTTGCAATGCTGCAATCCTAGAAAATTCTTACACACAGTACAAACCTTTAGAAAGAACCAGTATCACATCGTGTCACTTCCCAAAGAGAAAGTCTTGCACAGAATGAGTGTTACAGGATTGTTCTCTTCTGGTGTAATTTTGTACAAGACCAAATGTAATCGTTGCCGAGAGATATTGGATAAAGTCTATATAACTGGGAAAGGACATTATTATGCTGTTGATTTCAGGACGAAGTGTGGTACTGTTCTCTACAACTGAACTGTAGTGCTCTGC